TTCTTTTTATTTTGGTCCCGTGGGAAACAGAGGGAACAGGTCTGTGTGATCTGGTCTTGCAATTTTCATGTGTTTACATTTTTACCTGCCTCACCAGTGCCCTTAACTCCCCTTGCTCCAACCTCCTGTGCTGCCTTTTCTCATTTTGCTACTGCTTCCCCATTGCCCCTCCTCTTCTGTGCCTTCACACACTGCCCCCACATCAAATCTTCTCCTTTTTGCCATGCAGCACCCCCTCCTTAGAGTGCAAAGTAGTCACTATCACCTGCAGTTAGTCAATTAAGAGATCATGTTTTATGACTGTGCTAGATTGTTGGGGTTTCTCTTGCCTACTTAACAGTATTTTTCCAGATCCATCTTGGCACCTACATTTATTTGAAACAAACTGCAGGATAATTTGTTTTTCTAATTTTCAAGATGTGAACTCCTGGTTCCAGGGGGTCGGTGTTTCGGGCACCCAGTGCCAGCAAGCTGGGACTGCACACAGAGATTTGTGCTGTGTGAGGAAATACTTCATTAGACTTGTATTCCACGAAGACACTCTTGCTTCTTAACGCCTATGATTTTAATTAAAACCTGGAAAGTGAAGAATCCTTGGGTTGTATTAATGTTTTCATTTCCATTAGGACAGGAGAGTTTATAAACACGAGCTGGGTTTATAAATTAGACCTTGTAAGAATATTATGTGCACAGTGCAGCAAAGGCAGCAGAGAACTGGAGTGGAGCTGGCTCCATCTGTCTCTTTCCTTGGCTGGCTCTCACTTTCCAGTGTCCTCCCCTTGGCACAGGCTTTTCTGAGCTGTTCAAGGGTTCCCCCTTAGAGACTAAGCTAATGGCTTCTTCCATTTCTTTCTGTGGACGTTCTCCTCACTCAGCAAAGGAGGAAGAGAAGCAGATGTTTTAATCAGGGGCTTGCAAAACAACTTGCAAAGGTGACATTGGGTATAGGGATTTTGTGATGAGTAACATGAACAAGGAAAGAGATTCTTCTGACCCAATTCTCGCATGCATGTGTACCCAGAGATGCACATAGAGATAGTCAGATCTAAATATATATCCCACTTACAGTCATCCACATACAGAGTGTGAATATATATCGCTGAGTGTGCAGGGGAATGTGACAGAAGATGTGATCTCCTCCAGAGATGATGTGACAGCTGCATACAGCTGTGTGCAGGCTGCACTGGGGGAGCGCAGGCAGGCATTGCCCAGCAGGCACTGCCTGGCACAAACACTGATGCAGGGAACCATGGACCCCTACAGCCTGACTGTACTCAGCTGTGCAAACTGCACATGGGCCATCAGTGTGACACCAGTGACAATAACAAGCACTTGTGTGCTGTGTTCTGCTCAAGGACAGGTTTACAAAGACATCCACAATTTTATGCAAGGGAAAGCGAAGTGTAGATAGACGAAGTGCCCAGATCCACACAGTTTGTCAGCAGCAGAGCTGGGAGTAAAATCCGGATCTCATGTGTAGGGATCCTGAGTTTCCATTCATAATTACCACTGGGTAATCTTCACACTCCTAATTGGAAATAACCACACTTTTTCCCTTGGAAGTGTAATCATCTGGAAGAGCTACATATATTTGCATCTCTGGCCTTTGGCTGTGGTATCTCAGGTTGGCTCAAGATTGTCTTACAGTGGTCATCAGTAAGGGCAACTCAGGTACACCTACGCTGTGTGCAATGCAGCATCATGCAGGAGTGATATCTGAGCTAATCCTTTCAGGCAATGTATGATGTAGAGGTACCCTCAGCTGCCAGTTAGCATTTGCTTTTTGAAGGATAGGTACACAATTTTCATGCAAAAGTTTGGCTTCTCTTCAGTATGCAGAAGGATGGACCCTGTGCTAAAACCATGCAGTTCCCCAAGATCTGCAGGAATGAGTTTGAAGGGATTTTGTATGGAAACCTGTACATTAATGTAAATTTTTGTGCTGCAGTCTAAATCGTGTGAGTGGAGTAGGCCATCTCTTCAGACCTTGATGATGTCGATTTAGCACCCTAACTGCTGAACTGTTGAGCTGGTTTGCAGGGTACTTGTGCTTCATAAACAGCTCAGTTTCCATCAACAGCTAAGGTGGTAGGAAGTTGGAAAGAGAGCTGCTGGGCATGCCTGCTCTCCCCATCTCCGTCACAGTATGACTAGATGTTTTGGCAAGAGGGTAATGTTCAGGAGGAAGGAAGGAGGCATACCCACTGTCAACCTCTATCTCCTTGAGCCCAGCGGGGCTTTTATTGAGATATCCTTCTAAGCAGCTTAAATAGAAATGTCTGGTGACAAAATGAAAACAAATGGGGAAACCTGTGAGACTGGCTGGCGGTGGTTCCCTTCCCTGGTGCTGCTAGCCCCTGAGGGAAAGCAGAGGCTTGCTGGCACTTCCAGTCTTGATAATGCATCTGAGTTAGTGGAAGGGGCAGTGGCAGGGAAGGAAGAGGAAGGGGATAGTTTCCTGCACCATTTTTCAGGCTCTTAAAACACTGCCGAACCCATTAGAGGCCATTATTTAGGCTACCTGGCAACATAGGCTCTCACGCTCTGTTGAGACTCGGAGGGCTCTGGGCCACCACATGACTGCAGAAAGAAGGGAGAGCTGAGGTCCATCAGTCAGGGTGATGCCAGAAGCCTCCCCCTTGGTAGCACAGCAGCTTCTCTGCTGCCCATGCTACCACTGCTTAGATTCAAGGGGACACCAGTAGTTCAAAAACATTAACTACTTTCTCTCTTTCGCTTTCCTTCCCTATATTTCTGCAGGAGGGTGTAGGTCATCTCGTTTACAAAACAGTCTTTGTTTGATTCCTTTACTTACCCAGTCCTTCTCACCCCAATGTGACCCAATCCCCTTTTGTGAGAAAGAGTTGAGAAAATTATATCTATTCACCAGCAATGAATTAGCCAGGCAAAAGTCTTGCCTGCCCCAGTACCTGCTTAAGGAGGAAGTAGGTCAATGGCATAACCCCTTGGGCTGAGTGAGCAGGGCTGGGTGTGGAGGGTGTCAGGGGGTCTGAAAACCTTCTGAGAACGTGGCACATGAGCTCCATCCAACAGCGCTGTTCCAAGGGGCTCTTGCAGGGAACTCACCTTTCTAATGAGTGGGTGTAAGTGGGAGGGGGAGGGGAGAAAGGCATTGGGAGCTGAATAGAAATGCCGTGGTAACACACACGCACCTTAATGGCAACACTTCTCCAAGAAATTTCTCTTGAGAGTTCCTCATTATGCAAACAGGTCTGGCAAATGATAATGCCTCCTGTACTTCCAAGGATTAATGTATGTAAATGGCAGAGCTGCTGCTCGTTCCCAAAAGCAACATTCAGTTTCCCACACTGGAGGCAGCACCTGGGCCAAGGGCGCTGAGTCTCAGGGCACACACAGACTACACTTTCCACCTCTCTTTCATACCAGCTGTATCTTGAATCTTCTGAGATCAGTAGGCTGAATGTCTCCTTCCTTCAAACATCCACACTGAGTACAGCATCGTGGCCTTCCATATATGTGGGGTCAGTATATGTCACCTTCAGCCTGCTGGGGACACTGTCACTTGCCCTGGTGATCTGCCAGAGAAACCATCAGAGTAGATCCCGGTGTTAGGGGATTTGATCTAGGCAATATATTGCTTCATAATATTGTGAGAATGTAGGGAAGTCTATGGGGATGGTGGCTGACTTCTTAGTTACAGGCTTCAATTTGATGTGGAAAACAAGTTGCTTGTTATGATCTGAAAGGAATTTTGTCTGCTTTGTGAAATGACTTTGGTGCATTTTAGGTCTTTTTTACTTCAGAGTAATGTGGTTAACAGAGGCAGAAAATCACAGAAAAGTCGTTTCGTTGTTTTTTTTTGTTTGTTTTTTTGTTTTTTTTTTTTGAGTGTAATCTAGGTCAGGTCAGCTAGAGTTAGCTGAGCCTGAGGCTGACATCACCAATTTTATCTTGTGGTAAAACCAAAGTATGCTATCAGTGTGATATTTTTCCACTTGAGATAACTTCTGACAGTTGCCATGAGGTTAAAAATGCACTTTTTTTTTCCCTTTCTTTCATCTTTATTTTTTTGTTGTTATTGTTACTTTTGACAGTGGCTCTGCCTATTACTTTCATTTGCTTGAATGCACATGCATAGCACAGTCCCATCGTGACTGGCACTACCAACCCAGCACCCTCAGCAGCAGCAAGGCAGGGCAGTGCTGGCTACCAACATCCACAGCTTACCCACCTCGTGGCAAGCAGAAACCTGGTCTCTTCCAGGTGCTCTGACTGACATCTTCCTTTAACACCAAAAAGTTGCAAATTAATTAAGTGATTTCTTATTGCTAAAACTGGTGAGTGTGACCAAGCATATCTAGGCTAAAGATCATTTGCTCAAAACACAGGTGAGCTGTTTTGCCAAGCACCCAGAGGCAGCTGAAACTAAAGTAGTTTTGGAATTTTTTTGTGCAAAAACAATTTCTCAGAGTTTTTCTCAAGTTTTGACCCAAGAAAAATCATATGCATTTTTAGTAGACTCAAACTTTTTATTTCTAATTAATTGCAAAAAAGATGAAGCTAATTTAATTTTCTTTTCCTTTATTAGGTTTAGGGGATTGTCATTTTTGCCATCTTCTCTAGACAGCTTAACTTGAAGAAAAGAGCAAAATGGTACATGATTGTGGCTTCCTTCTGACAAAGCAGAGTTAAATCACAGGAGATATGATCTACATAGCACAGCCTCTAGCAAAAGAACCAAGGTGTTTAACCTTCCTCAGGCTTTTGTAAGACAAAAGGAAAATGCATCTTAATGGTATAACAGCCTGAAATTGAGCAGTTTAGGGCATTTCAAGAAATAAGACTGAAACATTGGATGATAGGAATTCTAAGACTCTTTCTCTCTTTCAGACCCAGAAGGAAAATGTTATAAAATTTCTGTGAATAATTTTGAAATTTGTTTGTGCTGGGAGGGTTAGCTGTGAAATCGGTGTCATTTTGAATTCACGTGAGAGCTGACTTGTTAAGAAATACTTTACTATGATGATGTTTGGTCATCCAAACCAAAGCGCCAAATGGCACACTTGCAAAAGGGAGTGGTGATTGCTCTCAGTCTTAAGGGAAGCACAGCCTGGGATGTTGATGGTGAGCCCTTTGCAGCTTGCTTGCCAGCCCTGCAGAAGAGCAAACAGAAAGTGGCTCATTTAGAGGTTGCATTGTCTATTCGGACCTGGACTGAGAAGAATGTGTTGCATTGTATCCCAAGAACCTCGCAGAAACGGATGTTTTACATCCAGATGCCAGTTTCTGTTCTGCTTTGGATACAAGCTGCAGATTTCTGACAAGTGAGGGGAGGGAGATGTGTGTGTGGAGCTGGAAGCTAGATTTGGAAAACCCTAACCTGCTTTTTTGCTCATGGGATTGTGAAAGCGTTCAGAAATTGCAATTCTTCTCCAGCTCTGAAGAATCACGTTGATATATGCTCCACATTATGATCATATGTAAAGACTGATAAGGCATCTTTGAAATAAAATCAGAGGGGAACGTGTTGCTGCGCGTGCTAAAGTAGCAGAAGTGTGAATGTCACGTTGAAACCTTACATTTTGAAATACAGCCATAACAAAGGGGATGAGGGGTCTGTCTGTATAAAGAACACCAGAAAATCTACTGCCTAATGATTTTTTAAAAGAGAATATAAATCAAAATTGAGAAACTCAGAAGGCTTTTACATCTACTTAGTGGATTCTGTGTGCATTGAATGTCTGTTGCTATAAAACCCTATGGTACTCTGTCTTTGAAAGTTGGCTGGGAACTAATAGCACCTTATCAGGGTTTTGCATGAGATAGCCCTAAGGTTTACCTTTGTAGTGCCTTTTGAAAAAAAAGTCCTCTGCTACCGAACTCAGGTCTGCGCTCCAGCAAAGGGTGAAAAGGGGATGCGGGAAAGGGAAGTAATAAGATTATACCTAATTGCCTTAGCACCCACTTAACTATTTTACATATCTGTCTTAGAACAAATGTTTGTGCAGTGCCTAGGCTGGTGTTTACAAATGTGTTAGCTAACTCTGGCTAATTGGGGAGCAATTAACGTGAGTTAAAACGGTATTCTAGACAAAGCCAGAGTGTGCCTTCCCTCTTCCCATCAGCACCAAGCCTGCCACAGCTCCTGAAGTGCTTGGACAACACACTCAGGCACATGGTGTGATTTTCTGGGGGTTGTCCCGTGGAGTTAGTCTCAATGATCCTTGTGGTTCCCTTACAACTTAGGACATTCTACGGTTTTATGATCTCTACCTTTATTCTACTAAGGAGGAGACGCTTGAATTTGCCTTTTAAAGAAGCGTGCTGCTCCCTGTAAGAGAAGGGGAAAAGCAGAAAAGGAGAGACACAGAGTTCTCCTGGCAGTGGGCCAGCTGTGCCAGCACAGTGCCGGCTGTGCCAAACTCACACTGCTGCGGGAGTGCTGCCTGCGATTTTCCTCACTCATCCACGACATCAGCTTCACCTGAGCTGTTCCTCCCCGCTCTGGGCCTTCTGCAGTCTCCAGCCTTCCTCTTGTTTCTCCTGTGCCCGCACTGCACCTGCCAGTGCTGGTACAACCCTTCCGTCTGCTGTTCCCCATGCCCTGTCCTAGGAAGGAAACTGCTCTTAGTTACACTCAGGTGATCTGGTTCCCTGTCCTGAGATAACACTGCCCCTCAGGTGGCATCTGTGCCTTTGCTCTGCATTGTCTGGGGAGCCCTGTGAGGACCAGGCACAGCAACAGCCACCCCTCATCTAACAGGGTGTGTGGGAACACTGGGGGTAGAGCTCTGGGAGGGTAGGGGGGGCCCCCTGGGGGAGTCACCAGGGAGTCAAGGTGTGGCCCCGCCCTGCCCTGCTTGGGAGCTGTTCGACTCTGCTGTGACATCAGAGCCATCACTGGCTGGGACTGGAATGCCTGGACAGGTGATGTCACCCCTGTAACCCCTGTTGCCAAGTCAGGTGGCCAAGCACCCGTGGGCTATGCCGACGCTGCACAACCTGTTCTGTTGGTGCCCAGGACAGGACAGTTGTGGGAGGCAGAGGTGGGTGAACCCTGTCCAGATCTGCTGTCCCTGGCAGTGTCCTGTGCACCTGGAGGTGCCTACCAGCCTGCCCTCACAGGGACCTGGAGAGGTGACCCACTCTTCGGGCATCTTGAAAGGAGGTACACACTTGGATTTCAGGAGGGTTGTCATGTCATGGGGAAGTGTCAGGATGGAGGGGGATGAGGAATACCAACTGACAGCCTTCCACTCAGACCCATCGTGAATGTTGTCTTTAGAGTAGGTTTCCCAGTGGGAAACTAAAGGGAAATTACCCACGCTGAGTAGCAGCTGCTGCTGTTTTAGCTGTGCTGTGCCTGGTTTCCCCAGCCCCCTTCAGCTCCTGTGGAACCACTTTTTTGGTGGTTGAATGCTTCGGGGATTATGCCTTGAAAGCAGACTTTGGGCCAGGACTTGGGCACAGCCAGAGTGCCAGCAGGCTTGGCAAACCTGCTCAACTGTGCTGTACTATGTGCCCTTGAAGTGCTTCTTGGACGTGGGCGTCTGCTGAGCTATTGTGGAAATGTGTTACAGGTGCGTACCAGGGGAGGACTCATATTGTAGGCTCTTGGCTTTCTCTTTTTCCCTCAATACTTGTGGCAAATCACAGCAATAGGACTTGTTCTACCACAGCAGGGTAGGAGTAATTCCCCAAATAAACCTGTGCCTTCCTGGGACTACGGGCAGGGAAAACTCAGCCAAGGACAGAGCAAGAGGAGACAAATCTTACATGGAAAGGATTTATAAGCGCAGACACAAACCTTGCTTTTTCTCTTTTCTATTGCGTACACATGTCTGGAAGTTAAACCCGTGAGCTAATTGTAAAGCCACGTGCGCAAATTTTATATATATAAATAATAATAAACCTCCCATTCATTATGTACCCTAGAGTGTCTAACCTGCATTGCATCCAGTAATTCATTTGCCTGGGAATCAATCCAGTATTAGAATAGCAAAAATGAAAGGTTGGAAGAGATCTCAGGAGTCCATTTTCTTCCTTGCAGACAGGATCAAAAATAATAAATTGCAAACTCATGATCTGCTTCAAATAGTCATACATGCGCAAAAGAGGGTCAGATTTCCCTGCCAAATTAATTTTTTTTTTTAATGTGTATTTTTCCCAAAAAGTTTCCTAGGAAGATTTATATATGAGATAAATTTAAGTTTCTGATGTGACAGCACATACTGGAAGTTAATAACGATGAAGATTTTCTCATTTGGAAAGGGAGACTGGCAATCCCCTACCGGGGCATGCAATATTCACTTCTGGGTCCTGGATTATAATATTCTGATTGAAGTTTCTGTATGCATAAAAATGCTAAAACATTTTGGAAATGTTTGAATGTTCCAACATATTTTAGCATTCCAAAACTTGGAACATTTTGGAAATGTTTAACATGCGCTTGTTTTGAGTCTTTCTATATTCCATATGTCTTTTGCAGAATTTTCACAGTCCTTACAAGTTTTTGGAATCATTAACAAATGGTTTTATCAAGGTCTTTTTGAATTTAGGGGGAACCCTCTCACTGATGCAACAGTTTTTGCCAAAAATCATGGGATTTTTTTTGGTGGAAGACGACATGAAGCACGAAACGTTGACAGTGGCTGGGAATAATTAGGAAGGCATGAAAAACAGGAATTTTTTCTGCACTTGGGAGTTGCCCAAGAGAAATCTGCATATTGTCAGGAGAGCCCTAGTAGGGCCAGTTGCAGGTGCAGTCATTCTGAAGGCAGTATCCGCTGTCACACTGACTGTTGCAATCTAGTAGGATACATGTCTGGGATTACTCTCTTGTCATGGTTTACAGACATCCAGTGTGTTCACCTGTATGGCTGATTTATTTTAAGTTCACTCCTTTAAGGTGTTCATGGTTTAAAGCACTTGTCATCTCTAACAGAGGCTGCTTTGAAAACCAAACTGGTTTCCTAGGAAAGAAATTTATTTTGTACCGGTTAAGGAAAAGTTTTGTAGTCCCTATTATAAAATTGGAAACATAGTTACTAAAAAACCCACAGCCGTACTTTGCATCTGTCTGTAGTTTTAGCTGTCACTGGTGGAAATGTTTTTGGCACTTTGTACTCAAACCAGACCTCACCTTGAAGAAATAATCTTTCAGAGCAGATATGGTATAGTTTCTCTGAAATCTCCTTTTGTATAGAATCATTCAAACTGAGTTTGGAACCTCCTTTGTTTTATAGCTGACTTTCCTGGGCCCACACTTACCTATTTCTTCCTCCAGCATTTTTAGAGGAGCTGGCCATTTTAGTTTTAGAAGTTTGAGAAATGGTTTTTCATTATTCACATTCATGTTGTCTTCTGAAATATATCAGCCCCGCGTTTGTCAGAGTTCTTTCACTGGCCATATCCTCATTGAGAGGGAAGTTAATTGCACACACACTTTCTCAGGCATCTCTTACCTTGATGTCTAGTGTGTATGTTCCCTATGCTTGCTATGGTTTCCGTAAGCCATATCAGAAGAATTACTTGTGAAACCATATTTATCACAATCTCAGAAGTGGAATTGTGTTGCATGACTTGTGTACAGCATGTATATGATTCATCTGGCAGCTGGAGCACTTCAGATTTCCCTGTGTTAGCAATTGTAGGGAGGCATTTGGGAAGGACAGAAGGATTGGCCACAGGTCCATATGCAGAATAAAATTATGTTCTGCTGCTAAGTAAAAGATTTCTTTGAAATCTATTTGAAGAAATCAAATTTCTATGAGAAATTTGTAGTTTAAGTATTTGCTTCCAAAACCTCCCCCAAAAAACTTCTCACTATACTTCTCAGGTCTACCTAGAAAGCGTCTTAATTGCATTTTAGTTTCTAAAATGTAGAAATATTTCTCTGCGTATCGGTGGGCTTGAATAGGTGAAGTCATTTAAGTGGCTGGGAATTTGCCCTGTGTCCCAAAGAGGGCAAGAGGAATTTTGAGACATCTACTCAAGAGTGTTTAACACATGCTGCTACCTCCACAGATGCTGAGCACCTGTAGTGCTGACTTGTAAGACTTCTAGTGAGTCATTACAGGTCCTGTTTTTAAAACATGCTCACTCCCAGCACGAGGAGCTCTGTTTTGAAAACCTGGACACTAGATTTGTTGCCCAAATGAGATATCAACTCTTTTGAAAAAAATCTGTCTCCAGTTGTGAATGCTGCACTCACCAAGAAATCCAGCCAAATGTATGCACCTGCTCCAGATACCAAGCTTGAAGTAACCCTGTTTCAACATAAGCTTTTATCTTAAATAGAGCAAGGTGGTTTCCTTTTCCATGCCCCAGGCATCATGTGAAGTTTGGTGGTGTGCTGGAAAATCCTTCCTTTCCTTTCTGGACCCATTCCAGCACCTCAGCTTACAGGTACTGTGCTGTATGAGGTGTTGCCTTTTGCAACACAGGCATAAAACAGGTAGTTTGCACCCTAGTCTGGTATCAACTGTGGGCTGTGTATCTCTTCCTCTGATAATGTTTCCTGCCACACCTTGCTGCTTATCTCTACTGCCACAGTTTTGCAAATGGCATAAAAATCCCCTTGCAGACAGTTAATGCAACGTGAGGTGAAGGAAGGGGGGGAGACTTGTCACATACCTCCAGAAGTGAGGTGTAATCATCCCTGGTTCCTTCACTCACTGATGCTAAGTGTGATCTGAAAGAAAAGCTGGTTCCCTGCCTATATGCAGCCAAGGGAGTGAGATGCCTCGTTGTTTCTGGGGATGGGGCTGTGAGCTCTAAGTGTCTGTGCATCTTCACACTGGGGTCCCCTGGGGAGATATGTACACTATCATTACTGAATCATTCAGTATGCTGTTGAGCACATGGGACTGTCAAACTTCTGAGTTAAATCTACTCATAACCATTGCAAAGCCATTTTGATGCCTATGACAGTTAAAACCTCTTATGGTGAAATCATTTATTGCAGCCTAACATTTTGCTACAGTGAGAGTAGGTGCTTCTAGTAATCCTTGAGAAAGATCAAATTGAATTGTAAAAGGTGTTTCCCATTGTGGCAGTGGCTAAGTGCTTAACCATGCGAGGGTCCAGGGGAACACTGAGCCTCCGTTTTAGTAAAGACACAATCTAAAAGCTTCCCAAGAGGAAATCAGCAGAGGTTCAGAAAACCACAGAAAGGGAAGTAGCCTCACAAATCAGTGGCTCTTTTCACTAGGAGGCATGCATGTATACAATAAGACATGATGGTAGGCATCTAATCTTGCGGTTGTTTTGCATGTTTCCCGCATGCAAAGACATGTAAGATGAGGCATGTTGCATTTTCTTGGCGAGAATTATATATGGAATGTCACGCTCTCAGCTACGTAGTCCTTCCCCCGACCCTTAATTTTGTTTTTCTTGGTGTTATTTCTTCCTTAATGAGATGCATTTGGACTGACCTAAGCCATTTTTCTCTCCCTTTCATATTTATATCTTTTATGTGGTGGTGCAGAGTCATTCATATTCCCACTACAGAGCTGTTAGAAAAGAAGAGGCCTGAGTGTCCTTTCAGCTAGTAACATTTTGAGACCCGAATATCTTCATTAGAAAGGTCATGAAAAATGTTCTGGTGTTCTGCTCTTAATTTTGTGATTTACCTTCCAAGTTCAGGCTGCCTCAATGCCATACAGCTAAACGTGAGACATGCACAGAGGAAATATCTAAGGACTGGTGCCTGGACTGGCCCCTGGACTGGCCCCTGTAATTGGTCCCCAGTCAGTAGTGCCTGTTGTAACCACTTAAAGGCAAAGAGGAGGACA